AATTACAGGGTTCTTATAATGGCTCAGTGGTACGAAAATAGCAAGAGGTGAAGCCAAATAGAACCAGTGGGGGTACCCTGCTTTCCACCATTTTGACATGATGGGTGGCTGCTGAAAGGTTCTATTGTTGTCAAACCCACCAATTAATCAAAGAGCAAGTTAAACCCTGCAATTAAATATTTAGTCATTAATACCACAAGATTATGTCTATTAAATCAATATAGGGCAGACGAGTAGCATTTGTGCCAAATCAACATTAATCTGCAACTTAAGCATAGTGTAGGCAAAACTTGTAGCATAGTCTTAAGTGTAGGGTTCAATGGGGTTTACTTCTTAGTGAATAAACGTGTCCTCTTCTCTCCCACAACAGGATTTGGCTGTTACATGCATTTGGGATTCATCTTAAAATGGCAATGGAATATTGTCTTAATTGGTAACAAGAATAATGGGAGGGACTGTGTACTATGGTCTGATGATGACACCATTTTGTAGATATTTGTTATTTTCTCCAAGTGAATTTCATGACCAAGTGTGAATTTGAACCCAGGTTCTCCATCCTAAATCTATCCCTAGCTCTCAGGATTACATTTTAGGTGCTTTGTAGGCACCTTGACTTCTCTGTTGAATTTGTTGATAGCTTGCTTTGACTTGAGGTTTGGATTTATAGGTAAATATTGATAACATGGTGATCAGTGCTTAATGTTTCCGTTCAGGTTTATTGTTGCTATATGGTATGTGAATACTGTTCAGTCTTTCTATTGACAACATCTTCTAATGAAATATATGGGAATGAATACATTTGCTAAGTATGTTAACTAGTGTAAGGTTGTATGATTCGGAAAATTACAATTCCATTGTTGTTTGACTAAATGAAACAGATGGCTATTTCTTTTTTAAAGTACTTAATGAAAATAACCATTATAGAGTTATATAGGGCTAAACCTGCACTTCTCTGTATTTGTTTCCGAGATTAATCATGGTGTTTTCCGCTTAATTGTATTGTCAAGAAGCAAATTATGCATAGCTAGCACTCTAAACGTTTCTTGGTAATTTTGTCAAATGCACAGTGGGAAAATAAGTATTGCCATACTGGTAAAATCATACAGCGTAGCAGGGAAACTTAAAATATTATTCCATTCCATTTAAAGCTGTCTAGTGGAACAAAATGACTGTACACTAATTAGTCCTATATGCAATTTCAGTCCTGAAGGGTTCCATCTTTGTGACACTTTAGTTTTCCAACTGTGACGTGGATATTCCTATAGGAGGTCACTGTTGCTAGGGAAGGCCTGAACATACAGGAAAGGAAGGAAGCAGAATGAGGATCAAATTAAAAAAAGAACAGTGATGCCTAAGAGGAAGTCAATCTGAACAGAGGGAACCAAATGCTACCGCACACAAATGGCTTATTTAGAGTTATTTTGTGGTTGGGGGCAGAATTCCCTAGACAGTTAAACTGAGAAAGACTTTCTACCTAAGGAATCCCAGAAAGCTCCTGGCAATCATATACTGGGCTTATAGCAGTGTGGGCTTTCCTGTAAAAAAAAGAAGCAGAAAAGAAGTGATTTCCCCCCTTTGCCCTTATCAGTGGAGATCTCCTTTAGCATGTTTGCCTTAAGAGTTAGTAAACAAATTACATATGCTGTATGAATAACTGGGACAAAAATACAGTAGTCCAGATTAGTTGAACTGAAATATTTGAAAAGGGAAAAAAATAAAGTGCACTTTTCTTTCAAAACATATATTCAAGCATATTCAAAGCTTTATTAGAAAATTATTGTATTGGAATACTTGTAAATATTTTAAGACATGACAACCCTTACTATATCTATATCTGTATATCTATATTTATATCTATAGATAGATATAACAGTTTAATAACACATAATTACACATTTCTGGATTGAACAAAACCATCCACTGATGCACCACCCTTGCTTGTGCTAAGAAAATCTAGCTAAGACTGCCTACCCATATAAGGCTAAGAAAAATATTTTATGGGCTAGATATTTTGTTTATATTGTGATCCTCAGATGAAGGGTGATATAGAAATAAAATAAATAATAAATATGGAACATGGTCTGTGGGAGTGGAACTGTAGCTAAAAGCCATTTGGCGGTGCTTTTAGTTGTCATTTTTATCAGAGATCCATTCTCTGCAAGCCTTTGACCCTCCAAACCATGTATTTTGCCCTCCATGGTATAGTACCAGATTCTTTTTGAATCCATCTTAAATTAACTCTCTCTTTGGCTTGAAGTTAATTGAAGTCTCTCCTCACCCCAAACCAAACACATGTAGGGTCTTAAAACGGGCATCCCCAAAACCAGTGAATTCTTTCTAGTGTTAAGTTTTCTTCCTCTCTCCCGTAATCAGATTTAGTATTTGATGCATTAATTCTTTTAGTTGCTCAGGGATGTTGCCAGATATTTAGAACTTTGAACTTAGGCCCAACCTACTTAAAATGCATACACCCCTGTAATACAAAGCACTCTTCCTAAAATTGCAAGGATGGAGGGCATTCAGCATGTGCTCCTGCACCAGCAGGACGTAAGATTTGAATTATGGTAGTATGACACAGCACTATTCGCGTTGTACATAAGGCACTGCTGAGTAATGGTAATGTTTTCAGGGCAACTTTGGCGACGGAGTGGGACTGCTTATCCATTGCTAATCTGTGTGGCATTTTGGCCTCTGTGGTGCACCTGCAAAGGGCTCCAGCCTTTTGAAGACCAAGGGCACATTTGCAAACCAGAAAAACGGATGTGGCCACCACACTGACACAGCTAGGGCAGTTACACATGCACTGCTATCACACACTCCCCTCTGTCAGCAATTTGGCTTGAAAAGTGTTAGCTCTCCATTCCCAGGTGTAACACACACACACACACACACACCCTACACACCTGAAATCGCTCCCTGCATTGCAGGAAGGTGTCAAAGAAGCCTGCTATTGGCTACAATAAAAATGTTTATTTCAAGCTTAATTCTATGGGAGGTGGAACAGAGAAAGGAATGGGATCTTGCAAGTGCAGGCACCATGTTCGTAATGCATGCGCTAGGCAGATCAAGACTGTAGGCTAAATATTTGCAGGCAACTTTTAATCACGTAATTACAGCTAGTAGGTAGGATGGCAGATAGGATATGGTGCAACTTGTACAGCTTCTGTGTCTGGAATTTATACCCCACTGTAGTTGTGCACCTCTGTATGACGTTTGCATGCTATCACATTCAGATTATTCTATTATCAGGCACCTTTTTGCATCATTGACCTGTTTTCAGAAGCGCTCACGTTTCACCAGAAACAAACTGGCAACTCTTGAGATCCAGGCTTCTAGAAAGAGGGGTTAGTTTTGAAACCTGGTTGACGTTTTGTTTCTGGTACCCCAAAGTGATGGCTTTTTAACTTCTAATTTTTTGTGTGATGCTGATGGTGTATTATGAACAACATGTTTTGAAAGTGAGATGCCAGCTTGGTACTGTACACTCAGTGAACCCTTATTTCAGAAATTTGCCAACACAGCTTTGTGCCGAGAGAGGAATGCTCTAGCTCAGGAGGAGCAGAAGGTAGATTTGGGGTCTTCTGGTAGATCTCTAAAAGGTCTGCGGTGGATGAGTGTGGGTTTCTGACTTTTCGTGGTCAACAATAGCAAATAATTAATGTCTTAGAAATAATTCACTAGGGTTGCTGAAATTAAGAATGCTTTTGTGGAAGAATCTGTATAAGTGTTTTTTGTGCAAAAGAACTGTAAGCTCAGTTTTTATAATGGGGGGGGGGAACCTTCAGCAAATATGCTCAGAGGCACGCTCTTCCTTAATTCTCAGTGTTTGCCGGCCCCTCCAAATCATTTTCCCCCCTTTCTCCTAGCTCTGGCTGGTGCACCCTGGTGCTTTGGTTTAAAAAGAAAAAAGAGCAAAAAACATTTAGCAAATAAAAGTAGAACCTGCAAGCTTGAAACCTGCCATCCCTTTGGGTACAGTGCAAAGTGCTTGCAATACCCCTCCCTACTCACCCAACTCACTCTGCTTTGAGGGAGGGGAGCTGTACATGTATTAATACAGGAAGCAGAGTTGGATCCAAGCTCTAAAGGAAGGGGTGAGCTGCACCTTTATGCCAGGGAGGGGGCTAACACCAGATCCTATACTTACAACACATCCAATTGGTGGGATGCATTAAGCAACATGCCAACACATAGTAAACCATAATTACTTCAGTTTAGACCCTTTCAAATGCAAGAAGTCTCTCTCTCTCTCTTTAAACAATTTAAATTCATGTCTAATTTGATATTGTATATTTCTTGTACACATGGAAGTTTTGCTGTAACTGTGCAATCACCAGTGGTGTAATTTGGCCTAATTAGCCTTTGCTTAGTGATTTGGGATGTCTATCAAGGACTGTTATGTTCTCAGGAAACGTAGTGAGTTAAAAGCTAATGTGGTGACCTCATCTCTATTCATTAAGCTCCAGAGTATAAACTGCACTGGAGAGTGACTGTTAAACCATATCAGTCCATTTTTATGCTGCAAGTTAATCTGCTTTAATTTGGATACTAAATTTATCCAATTTAACATTTGCAGTTATAACGGGAAATAATTTACAGGGAAAAATGCAGTATATTGTTCACTTCCCTTTTTGCCTTGCTTGCAAACGTTTCTCGGGATTTTGTTGGTGGTGGTGAGGCACAATCATTTTTATTTTCTTGGGTTCTTTAAAATGATGTTCCTGTTTGAAAATTGGTATGGCTTCAAGGGGAAATTATTAGCCAAGGACCAATAGAAAACACACACATTTGTATCATTTACTTTGTGCGAACGGTTTGCCTTTCTACTTAAACCGATCATTAAATGAGAGTGCAGCCACCGGCTCTTTAATATTAGAGCTATATGCACACTGTGTCGCTGTGCTGCTGGTCCAATCGCTCTTTGTGACTTCAGCTATTGGCTCAGAAGGCTGCTTGTCTGACTCCATCTGCAGGGCTCTAACACCTCCTGCACTCAGATCCATTCAACACACAACTCGCGCCAGCTGACAAGCAAGCAGCAGCAGCAGCAGCATATCTTGCTCTCCTACTTTGTTTTGCCACACAACAAAGCTCTCTCGCAAGCAAATGAAGCTGGGAGTCAGGATGGGGAGGAGTTTGACAGATCAAGTACTGGATCAAACTTAAAAAGCTAATATCTTAATTCAGCATACTGGAAAAAAGGTCACCTTGCCTTGCTGGAAAAAGAAGCACACAATCTCAGCCTTGCAGCTCTGTGTTCGGTACCTTCTGCTTGCCTCTGTTCTACGTAGTTAGGCTATCTGATTACACAGACAAGGATACTCATGGTAGATGACAAGGGAAAGAACATGAAATGTCTCACCTTCTTCTTGATGCTTCCAGAGACAGTTAAGAACAGGTCCAAGAAAAGCTCCAAGAAGGCAAGCAGTAGCAGTGGTGGCAGCAGCAGCAAGTTACCTCCAGTTTGCTATGAAATCATTACCTTGAAGACTAAAAAGAAGAAGAAGATGGCTGCTGATATTTTCCCCCGAAAGAAGCCGGCGAACAGTAACACCACTGCTGTCCAGCAGTACCACCAGCAAAACATCAATAACAACAACATCATCCCAGCTCCAAACTGGCAAGGACTGTACCCCACCATCCGAGAAAGGTAAGCAAGTTGGGAAATGGCTTCTTAATTGTGCTTTTCAGTTCAGTGGCAGTCTGTAGTGAGATGTGTGCCCTCTTTTCGAACAGCATGCCTTCCCGTTAGGCAGCGCTCAAAGAAGGGGAAATGCTTTTACTTTCCCCTTGTGCAGTTGTTATTTTTTCTCCTGATAATGAAGAATATTTTTGCATGCAAGCTGCCTTGATTTAACCTCTTAGGTATTCTTCTCTCATGAAGGCACATTCACGCCGTATTAATCTTCATATTTGATCACACAGTTTAGCCTTTTTAGTTTTACAAAAGTTCTTGCTAAGTTTTTCTTGCAGTGTCATACTTTTTTTTTTAATTAAAAAAAGGCCATACCTTGGTACATTTAATGATTGTTAAAGTCATTTAAAATCTGTTCTGCTTTTTTCAAAAGGACTGTTTTCTTTCTCTCTTTGTGTTTGTGTGTTTTCTTGGTTGCTCTTGAAAGATTGTAACATTTTAAGGAGCTGAATTGCATGTATGGGATGCTGAAACCCTAAAATAACTTATTGCCTCTGTTTGTAGAAATGCAGTAATGTTCAACAATGACTTGATGGCAGATGTTCATTTTGTGGTTGGTCCACCAGGTGGGACCCAGCGGTTGCCAGGACACAAAGTAAGCAACAGCTGCATTACTAGATCTGACATGGGAAAAGCAAGGGGAACATCAACCGTTGCCATTGTAACTTAGTGTGGGAGGCTTGGGTACTGGAACTGACATAATTATGGAAGCTTTTAAGCATCTTTGCCTGGTGAAATGCTTTAGCAGTTTCCCCTCCAGTTAAATATCTTTGCTACTGTAATACAAGGTTGGGAAAATCTGTGTCTGTTTCTGGACCACAGTTCCCAGCCATGATAGCCGTTGGGCATGGGAGTTGTAGTTCAACATGTTCCTCAATTGTGCAGTACAATATTACCCCCTCCAAAATCTTGTTTTACTGATTTATGACATTATTATCCTATCCTTCCACCAATCTGCCCTCCTTTTAAAAACTCACAACAACCCTGTGAAGTAGGTTATGCTGAGACAGCAGCTGGTCCAAAGTCACCCCATAAGTGGGAATTTGATCTCAGGCCTCCAGATATAACACTCTGAAACACTGCAACACACTGCCTCCCAGTGGGGATAGCAATGTATTAGAATAGCAGTCTGTTCAAGGGTTGTGGATGGGGTTTCTCCAGGATTCCCTTAGTGAGTTTTGCTTTAAAAATTTAGAGTGCAAAGTGAAGCCATGCCATGCTCTCTCATTACTGTTGATTGCCTTCATGGCTTCATTCTTAATGCTCACTGTGGCGCTGCCACATTTCTGCTTTTCTGTTGGCGATGAATTTTGTTCTAAAGCATGAAATAATATTTCCCTTTTTGAACAGTATGTCTTAGCTGTTGGAAGCTCTGTATTCCATGCAATGTTTTATGGAGAGCTTGCTGAGGACAAAGATGAAATCCGTATACCAGATGTGGAGCCTGCTGCTTTCCTCGCTATGCTGAAGTAAGCATCCTTCTTCATTGCTGGAAGTGAATTTGTTTGTACTTGATCTAGTAATGCCATAGTTAAAAAGTTAGGCATTGTCATAAAGAAAGAATTGATGTGCAAATGCACTCATTAGCTTATGGATACGGTGTCTGCAGTTGTGTGTTAATTATAGGACTTTAAAAAATGAATATTTTATTTATCCCTCCCTCCCTTCAGATGTCAAAGAGATAAAGAATTAAACAACTTTTAGAAGACATCTGAAGGCAGCCCTGTATCGGGAGGTTTTTAACACTTCATGTTTTATGTTTTTAGATATGCTGTAAGCCGCTCAGAGTGGCTGGGGAAACCCAACTAGATGGGTGGGGTATTGCTGTTGTTGTTGTTATTTTATTAATAATAATCCCTCCCTTCCCTTCCCCGCCTCCATCTCCTGCATATTTATTTAGTCAGTAGGTCACATTGGTCAAGCTGCTTTTTCATATACTTTATAAAGAACTGAATATAAAAAGGAAGAGCTTTAAAACAGGGTGAAATGGAAAGATTCCAAACTACTAATATACTGTTGCCTGTTTTAGATGCAACACCAAGCCAAACCATGGCTTAGCACATCTGAGCAAGCATGCAAGTCTCCAGAGTGAAGATCACAGCCTCAACAATCCTATCTCAGTCTTGCTGCTGTCATGCTTCCTGGGGCTAAGCCATGGTTTGGCTTAGTCTTCCTTCCACGATCCAGGGTCATGGTTTGACTCACTTCAGTGAGTCAATGAATGAGAACAAACCTTGGTTGCAGCGGGAGGTTTGTCTGGTGCAAGACAAACCATGGGACACAATCTTCACACTGAGATCTCACATGTTTCCTCATTCCCAATAAACCATGAGTTGGCTTAGCATTACAGGTGAACCAGGTCTGCATTTGATTGTGCTACTCCTTTTTCAAACAACACAATTCCTTTTTATTCCTGATAAGCGCAGCTTCTGATGATCCTGTAAACTTCTGAAATGCAGTCACTGATGATAACGTTTTCTTATAGGCAGGATGAATTTTCAAATGTTAAAAATAATAGTATTTTCTTAAATGCTGTTTCTGCATTTTAAACTTGAACTGAAGAAAGGACATGCATTTGGGGGGAGGTGATTTCTCCCTCCACCCAGCTTGTTTTTCTTGCATGACGAGTGGGAAGTAAGGAAGAGCAAGTTGCTTTCGAACAATGATTGCCCATTAACTCAGGATTTAATTTGGAATGTGTATTTGGAAACATCTAGCATTTCTTATTAAAAAATAATCGTTTTTCTCTGTGTCGTCTGTTACTGTTTTATATGTGTGCTTATATATTATAAAAATCCTTTCGCTGTGCCATTGAATCCCCCTGCAAGCTTTGCCTGACCATGTAACTGATAAATATTAGTTTCCGGTCTGGATTGCCTTGGTGATTGTGAAGGGCACTTTCTAACTTTTCCTTAGGGTGCTTTTGCTGCTTGTAGCTGTGGTTAGTCAGCACACGATTGTGTGAAGAGCTTCAAAGAAAGGAGATGACACGTACGAACCACCAAGACGCAGTTGTGTCGTCATTTGTGGCTAGATCTGTCAAACTGCGAAGGTTGCAGTATTTAAATATAGGTGTTACGTCCTGATGCAAATGGGATGTTGTCAGGTGAATAGTATGATATGTTCAGGTTATAAATACCAGCAGTGCCTTAGGTAGATATGGGATCTTCGGTTGAATCTTACCGTGCCAGAAAAAAAGGATTTACTGCTTGATGCAGCTCTACGGTGGAAAGAGTTTATATCTTCCTAAATGCAGGCACTAGGAGGCATACTCAAACAGAGCACAGTCTAATACAGGTTTAAGGGCACTTCACAACCTTTGATTTCAATAGGCCTTTGATTTCAGTAGATGCTTGTGTGTGTTCTGCTGTGCACTTGATTGTACTCTTGGTGTGCACAGTTCTGGAAACACGGATTTAAGAGTAAGACGAGTGGATTCATCCTAATGAAAACATGTTTAATACTCAACATTTACACTGAGCTGGACTCTCCCCTGTCAAAATAGGGTAGCAGCGGAAACATCACAATAGAAATACCATGTTTTCATTATCCATAGCTAAGGTGTGCCAGAAGAGAAGAAAGAAGGGAAGGGTGCAAACCAAGTCACTGTTATCTCCATTCTTGATTTTTTTCTTTTGGTGGTAACCAGTTTATTATCTTTCTGCGGCAATTTTTTAAAAGCATCTCTAAAATTAGGAGCCAGACATTTTCGCAATTAAAGAAAAATATGGCTGTTAGAGTAGGCTTAGGTGTACTTTATTCTCCTAGTTCATGACCAAACTATACAAGATGTTTAACTCTTTCATCTCCTGATAACAGTCCTGAGGAAGGTCCCTCTTCTGAGGCTGGTATTTGTTTTGTAGGGGAAATCTCCAAAACCAGGGTGGAGGAGGGATTTTCCTTGGGACTGCAGCTGGGTAGATTTACCCCCAAACTGCCTGGTGTTATTTGCAGTGTTGAAAACTGGCCCATTAAAGACACATTTAACCACATCTAGGCAAGGTACAGCAAAAGGTAAATCTGTAAAGTGGCTTAAAGCATATCTTACTGATATTTGTAAGCTACTCTGAGACTGTTTTCTGTTGAAGAATAGGATTAAAATTATTTTAATAGAAAAATTTAGGCCCCTGGTTTCTAATATGTGTACAATATGTTAAAATATGTGATGTTAAAACCTACTTGGTTTCTATATCTCATGTTTTGAATGCATAAAACCTCTACACTGGTGATGTGCACATTTGCCCTGAACATAAAAGGAAAATATGCATTTTACTTAAAGTATTAGTTATCATTTCTATGTACGGTAAGTGTCACTTAAGCAGTCGGAGCTTTTGTCTGACAGTTGCTTTTAATCCACCAAAAATCCCCAAAGCAATTTCACTGTGATAATAAAAGTTTCATTTTAAAAAGACCACAGGTAAATTAGCCTCTTGCTACTGTTTATAATAGCTGTGCAAGTTAGATATTTGACATCCCTAAGTGCTGTCTTCTATGCTGTATTCTTTCTGACTCTTAAAATCCCAAGGGCTAGAAGTACGTGTTAAAACATTGTGCATCCAAGAGAGATTATGGTTGCCTTGTAAATGAGCAGCTAGTGCCCCATAGGGAAAATCAAAAGAAGTAAACACAAATCTTTTAAACGAGCTTAAGTGAAATTGACATCAAAGCTTCACAAATATAGTTCAAAATATTCTGCCGCCACCCTCAGCAACAAATGGCTTTTAAACGATGTCATGACTACCTTCATCCTCCTTCCCTTGCCCCGGTGCCAGATCAAAACCAGTTTGTGCTACTTCCCTCCCTCCAAATAATTAACTTTGCTAGAAATTACTAGGTTTCCCATTGTGATCTGCGAGTCATACATTTATGGCTGCTCTAAACTCTTTTCATCATGGTCAGGTTGAATGTTCAGCATGAATTGCATGCAGTATGCAAAACTGAAGCCAGATTGAAAGAGAAGTACCTTTGCCTTGTTCGTGTGCTCGAGTAATGCCTCCTTTTCTTCTTCTTCATTGTGCTTGGGAGCTGGAGGAGGATAGGCAGGAGAAACTAAGGGTACTACTGGATGTGCATTTTTGGAGTATGCTGTGAGTTCACTTGGAAGACAGCCTATCAGCTTCTTAGGGGGACTATCCCAAAGAGTTTGGCTTCAGAACCCAGCTAGATCCCCAAACAATCTATTGCAGGCACACTACAATCTGCCCCATAATCTGATGTGGAATGGATTGTGGAAGATGTTCTCTGGAGTACTTTGATCACTTCCCTTGAGTGATCCAATTGCAATGTCAGTTGTCAGAAACAAGGAAAATAAGACCTCTGTAGATGATAGGATGAGGGTGTCCATCTAGTTGACCACCATCCTTTCCAACAATGGTCAGTCCCTGGTGAAGCCCACAAGCAGCCCCTCCATTGTCTGCAGCTGGTATCCAGAGAGACACAGCCATTGAACCTGAATAATCAATTTAACTAGTCATAGTGAATAAGCATTTTAGAGAGAGCGATCTTCCATAAATATGTCCGCTCTTTTACTGGCTACCTAAGCCAATGGTAATTACCACACATTGTGTTGGCGAATTCAGTACATTTGTATATTCATTTTCGAACAGATTAGTTTTCAAACGTTTTGGCTCTCGAATGCTGCAAACCCGGAAGTGAGTGTTCTGGTTTGCGGACTATTTTTGGAAGCTGAATGTCCAACGGGGCTTCAGTGGCCAATCAGAAGCCACGCTTTGGTTTCCGAACATTTTGGAAGTCGAACGGACTTCCGGAACAGATTCCATTCGACTTCCAAGGTACGGTTGTATTTTAATTGTATGTTCTGTGAAGAAGTGCTTTTTGTCTGTCATGAGCAGAGTTATTGACATTTTTCCCTGAAATGCAAGTCCATTATATTTCACCATGCGCCAAATTAAATTGGTTGTCAACTTTACACTATAATGAGCTAAAGCTTAAGTTGATTGATTCATGGGGCTGCCAGTTAAGGGCACACTTGTTCATCAAGGCAACTTCCGTTGCAGTGCATTGCAGTGCTGCGGAATGCAGAAAGACCATATGAAACATTGCCTCCTGAGCATTTGCAGATTTTGTCATCATCTTAAAAAGTCACCCATATTGAGGTTTTGATGAGCTTAACAAAAGGTAGATGACAAATCAACAAATTAAGCATTTGTTGCAAATAATTCCTGAACAACTATATTAGCGTTTTATCATACATGTGTCTTTCACTACTAGCGTTCTTGACAAACGTCCATCTGTTTTGTTAACAGTATTACATGCGTGTCTTTTATTGCAGATACATATATTGTGATGAAATTGACTTGGCTGCGGATACAGTTCTGGCAACTCTCTACGCTGCCAAGAAGTACATCGTTCCTCATCTTGCCCGCGCATGTGTTAACTTCCTAGAGACGAGTCTGAGTGCAAAAAACGCTTGTGTACTGCTCTCCCAGAGCTGCTTATTTGAGGAACCAGACCTGACTGAGCGCTGCTGGGAAGTGATTGATGCCCAGGCAGAGCTGGCTTTGAAATCGGAAGGGTTCTGTGACATTGATTTTCAAACACTCGAAAGCATCCTCCAGAGGGAGACCCTGAATGCCAAAGAAATTGTGGTTTTTGAAGCTGCTCTCAGTTGGGCCGAAGTAGAGTGTCAACGCCAAGAATTACCTGCCAGCATAGAAAACAAGCGCAAAGTCCTTGGGAAGGCGCTCTATCTCATCCGCATCCCTACGATGGCGCTTGATGACTTTGCAAATGGTGCTGCTCAGTCCGGCATCCTGACCCTCAATGAAACAAACGATATCTTCCTTTGGTACACAGCTGCCAAAAAGCCAGAGCTGCAGTTTGTGAGCAATGCCCGGAAAGGCCTTGTCCCACAACGCTGCCACCGCTTCCAGTCTTGTGCCTACCGCAGCAACCAGTGGCGCTACAGGGGCCGTTGTGACAGCATACAGTTTGCTGTTGACAAGAGAGTGTTCATTGCTGGCTTCGGGCTCTATGGCTCCAGCTGTGGATCGGCCGAATACAGTGCCAAGATTGAACTCAAACGGCAAGGCGTTATCCTAGGGCAAAACTTGAGCAAGTACTTCTCTGACGGATCTAGCAACACTTTCCCAGTGTGGTTTGAGTACCCCGTGCAGATCGAGCCAGATACCTTTTACACAGCTAGTGTGATTCTGGATGGAAATGAACTCAGCTATTTTGGACAGGAAGGGATGACAGAAGTTCAGTGTGGCAAAGTAACTGTGCAGTTCCAGTGTTCTTCAGACAGTACCAATGGCACTGGGGTTCAGGGGGGGCAGATTCCAGAACTTATCTTTTATGCCTGAAAGAAGATGGGTTCCACAACATGGAGAGCGCTGTTCTATGGTGTATATGTCTGGTCCAGACCTGTTTGATACTTACCTTGCTGTCTGCAGATATGTGATCAGTACAGGTAATATGTTCCTGAATGCAGTGAACAGCTTAATGCTTGCTGTACTTTTGTAACCTAAGTGTAAAATTCTTTTTACTGGGAGCTCCCAGGAACAAGCAAATGAGCAAATTATAAAAGTCAAGAGTTTCACAGCCTTACTACAGATGAGATGGCCTTTTTTGTGAAAGAAAGGAAATAGATGTTCTCCTCCATTCTGTTTCCCACCTACCCTTTTAACTTGCTACTTTCTCCTGTTCTTTTGATTTATTTATTTTTGTTTCCTTCATGCCATAGGCTTTTCAAACATCTCACTGTTTGTTTTAACGGACACCCCCTCACACTTCCACTGGAGGCTGATTTGGCAGCAACACCACCAATTCACACAAAAAAAGCAGTTTTGCTAGAGACGAGTTTGGTCTTCCTGCATGTGCTAATAAGATGTTGGGAAGTTGTGTTAATTGAGATGGACCACTGGGATGAACTGGTGCATTGAGAATGTCTACAAAGGAAAGTAAGTCTCCTCAAGGAGCAAAGTGGGTTATGCACAGTAGATTCTTACTTTCTTCAACACCATTCTCCCAATCTTCTCCTGAGACACAAAACAACCCCTGCTTGCCCATCTAGTGCATTGAAATGAATGGTGTTTTCACCATGGCAGTGCCTCAATGACCCATTTCTTTTTAATAAAGCATTTCCCCATTTAATAAGCCTTTGTAGTCACCCTTTATTGGTCCAGTCCCTTTCCCACAATTTTCTGATCTGTAGAAAAGGAGCAAATCCCTAGTGACTATTTTTTTGTTTTTCCAAAGGCAGTTGAGAACTTTTTGGCATGGGGTTACTTTTACCACCTGGGTAAAATAATAATAATAATAATAATAATAGCAATTTTTGTAGTATTATATTACTTTCAATTGCTGTGGATAGTTCACAAATTGACTAATGTGACAGATAAATTGATAGAAGCAAGAAGCAAGTAGGTTTCAAAGACTTCTCCATTTCTGGGTCAGTATCCAAATAGTAGGTTGGACAAAATGCAGTTGTACTTAAATATTCACCCACATGTTTGCTTTTTAAAGATGCCCCAGATCTGTGATTTTTTTAAAAAGATGCCCAGATTTCTTGGCTTTCAGAATCCCCCTAACTACGTACTGTGTCTGGGATCAAATAGTAACATGGCTGGCGTGGATGCTGTTTGTAGTTTTTCTTCTTAGAGCTGCTTTTTAGCACAGCTGTAAATGGTTGCTTTGAGTAGCATTCATTACCACACTCCATAGAACGCCTGTTAAGACGCATCTCTAAAACATGTATATGTTCATTTTATAGGAAGTTTTGATTTTTGTGTAATTGTAATGAAATTCGTAATTGCCAGCATTTTCTGAAAAGGGGACATTTGTGACTTAGATTTCCCCCGTTTTAATTTGATCTTCATTCAGATCTGAAGTTCAGTTTTCATTGACCAGAAGCATTTTTTTCCTCTCTTATTTTAAATTGGTTGTCAGGCTTCCTGTAGAACCATCTGTGTTCTTGGCAGGAAAGGGCTGCAGGCTGGGTGGTAGTAAAAATGAAAGGAAATAAGCATAACTGAATGATACAGAGCAATTTCATGTTCATGAAATAATAAAAGGCACATTTTCAAGTAGGCAACACTTGTCTCTGCTTGAAAGTTGCTTACAGTGGTATTCCCAAGCTGATTTTCAACTCCCCTTGCTTTAAATTAAGAATATGATTTATTCAGTAAAGTAAGCATGAATGCTTCCTGCTACATTGTTTAAGGTGGGAGTGTACCTCCCCAACACTAAATCTACACACTGATATAACTATATAAATGTTTCTCCCACCTCTCCACCCATCAATATGGTACATTATCTGTTCATGTGCTTGCTCTGAATATTTTAACCTGCTGGAATCCTGGCTTCTAGTAGTCTTTTTAAGTGCCATTAAGAATCTAAAATATGGTGGATTGGGCATGAGAAAATCCAGCCTTCAAATGCAGTGTTTTCTCAGATGTGTATAATATAAAGGAAAACACAGAGGCTATTCTTAAAGGGAAAATGTTATTATTGCCTTTTTAATTATTTCAAACGGTATGATGTAAAACAGAAGCATATAAATGCTCTCATGTTGTATTGAGGTTGCTTCCTGATCAGATGTACCTGATGTACATCAGATGTATCCTCAAGAACCATTGTGGCTGGCGCATTGATCTCACACCCAGGGAGAACCAGGTAAAAGCCCTGCTCAGTCACAAAATTCCCCGGGTGCACTTAGGCCAGTCTCTCAGCCTAACTTTCCTCACACTGATGCTGTGAGGATGAAATTGGTGGCAGGACATCAAGGAAGGGCAGGAATAGAAATGAGAATGAATAATTTGTGCATAATGTGCTGGGAGAGGGGGAGGGGCTCCTGCAGATGCTTCCCCATGCTTTTTCATGAACCTCAAATAAGAGTCACAACGGAATTGCATGGTTTGAGCAAGTAGTGCTATTTCCCCTATTAGCAATCCTATAAAAGCCAGTTTCCAGACTAGGGTCATGTGGGGTTTTTGATGCCCTGTGCCCTCTTGGCCTCTAGATGGCATATGTACACTGCTGCTTTTACTTAATGCCCCACTGAAACAGATGGCGGTCAAGAGGTCCAGAATGGTATCCGAGTGTAGCACTTTATATTTCCCTTAAGCGTGAATGTCTTGCCATTCACTTCCATGGGGGGAAGTAACTGGGTTTAGTAGGGTGTAGTGCAGGGGAGAAAGAAGGCTAGGTTAGGCGGCCCCTGATTTTGGAATGGAATGCATAGCTCAACCTCCCCTGAAAAGGGGCGTCTTTCTGTCCCCCTTCCCTTGTTTGTCAAAGCGACAGGCGCTTATTCAGTTTGAACCTGAAAGCAGAAGTGAGTATCATTTGCCTACCATTATGAGCAGTTCTTAAACCAGTTTGCAGTGGTAAATTGCAATCCTTTTTTGATGGTACATTTCGGTGCACCATCTCCTTTACTGTACAAGGGTAATGTCAATGAGGTGTGCTGTCAGATACAAAAAATGCATCTTAAACCAATATAAAAATTAAGCAATATATTGGTTTACTCTTAAGATAAGGGAGGCATAGCTTGCTGCATAAAAGTTAGCATGTGTCTTCTGCAACTGAGTCACTTAAGCTGATCAAGAGGCCTGGACCTTCCCCATGTGTTCCTTGAAAAAAGAGAGATGAGTTCAGAGTTTAAATAGTATTAAATTTGTCTTAGTATGGACAATATTTTAAAGCATATTTTGAAGCTGATTTGCATTCAAGGCACATACTGCAGAGGTGTTTAAAAATTATCTCTGCAACCATGAGAGCTAAATACTTTCACAGCTTTCACGAAAGCACCCTTCCCTGCTTTTAGATTATACAGGAGAGAACTAAGTTATGCTTCCAACACGATTGGGTGTTTGTATTCTGCTTGGTGCACATTATTTTACATGCCTCACAATGCACTCCTGTGCACATCTACTCAGAAGTAAATCTCATTGAGTTCAGTGGGTCTTGCTTCCAGATAAGCATGCACAGAATTACAGCTTTAGACAGTAGAATTTAAAGTGTGCATTGCACTACTTTCGGCAGTTTTCAGGTAAAATGCCTTTAAAATTCATATTAAACTTGGGCCACTTCTAGTATGAATTATTTTTATTGTCAGCATCTGTACCATGCCTTTCTAAGGCATATTCAATGCAGCTTGTAATCAAAATAAAAAGAATGCACAAAAAAGAACAAAAATATGAGGAAAATGGCAAAGCAATAAAAAGGTCTAAAAACTATAGGAAAATCTGGCAGGGGGAGGGTGAAAAATGAACATACGCTGCAAAAGCTTGCTGTAATAAAATTGCCTTTGCTGCTCATCTAAAAGTGAGTAGCGATAGGGCCAGGAGCACCTCCTTTGGGAGGCTGCTCAGATGTATGACTGAGAAAAGTATAAATGGGATCAAAATGAAAAGTCAGAATGCTAATATATTGATAAGGAGGGAACACACAAAGAATGGGGAAGTCCGCATTTTCCGAGTGTTCTGCAGAAGCTGAGGATTTCAGAGTTGGTTCTGTAGATAACACCAGAAAATTCAGCCAAATGAAATCTGCTACCTAAAGTGGCACTTTAACCAGGCAACTAGCAATTTTATGAAGGAGGTTTTTGTACCTTTCAGAATTGTCCACGTTGGATCTAGTTCCTGGTCAGTTGTTACTCTCCAGGGAGCAACCTGGTAAAGAGTCTTGCGCGTGCAAACCATCCCCAGATAGAAAGTAATGCGTGGTACTGCATTTGGTTGAATGGTGTTGTATTCTCCATGGTGTTGTATTCAAAGTAGAACTAAGGCTGTTGTTCCATCAGCACAAACCTTTCTGCTTGCTTGACAGAGCTATCTCCCCTTCCTCAGCATGCCATTCTGAGGATTCTCCCAAACCCCTGGAGAAGATTTCGGGAGAGCACATTGGAAAGTCCTAATGCGCTAGCAGAAATCGTGGTCCCTAAGGCTTCTGGTTACTTTCTTGAATGGGGCAGGGGGTTAGAGCACAGTAGATTGCATACAAGAGCCTCTAGGTTCAATCTTCAACATCTGAGAAATGCACACACATACCTTCTAAAACGAAAGCTGCCTGCCAGTCAGTGTGTACTATTAAGCTAGATGCACCAGTGGTCTGACTCTGTAGAAGACAGCTTCCTGTGGATAATGAAACTTCTACAGAGTTGAGTTTCCCCACTGCTGATTAATGAAAGTCCTTTTTGCCTGAGGACCTACGTCACTTTTAGAACGAATAAAGGAGAATGCCCAATGAAATATGCCAAATAAAAAAACAATTACAGGGTCTTCATTCAGCATCTCTGAAATGCACAAATGGCTGTGTGTGGACTTTGCTGTTCTCTTACATGAACAAGGGTATGCAGTGAGAAATCTCTGTACATGCACAGAGGCACACCTCTGTGCATACAAGGTCCTTGCATGCAGGGGAACTATGCATTTGTCTCTTAAATGCATAAAGTGCCCCAGAACTGCTGCTATTTGTTAACATTAACACTAATTACATTATTGGCATTCATATTTTAATAGTGCTATTTAAAAGTATCTGCTGGTGATCATACCACCACTATCAATGAAAGGCTTTACCCAAATGGCATTGAGTCAATCCTGTTTTCTGTATCTACCCATGTTAGGTTGGATTCATTCTAATCAATGTATGTTGCCTTAAATGGTTTGTGGATTGAACTATAAGGCTGCCAGCATCAATTGACTGGAAGCAGGGGATGTCTGTAGAATTGTTTCCAGATGAGAGCTTTGTACCCTTAAATAGAAAGTCAATATCCTAAATGTATGAATTCCTGAATATTTTGGTTTATTCTTCTAAAGCACCAGACATATTTATCTGGAACAGAACAGAGCCTGAGATGTGAGAAAATATTATAGATGCTGTTTAAATTACGCCTAACATCTTGTTGCATGGCGAGCTGGAAGGGGGAAGGGAAGCTGTTAACTGGATTTGTGGTGTAATATACTTTAAGCATATCTGACATAGTATTTAAGTAAATGTTCTAATTTCTACAGTACTTATTGCACTGATTTTTTTAAATGTTAAAACTCCGTTATTTCAAAGACAACTGCGTCTAGTTGTGCTTGGAGCAGTGCTTGACTATAGCAACCGATGGCATTATTTATGAAGGACAGATATATATATAAATATGAAGTACCTCAAGTTGAATGTTATCGTACTGTATCTTTAATGTAACAGTGCAGAATTTTAGTAGACACATGAATGTGTATAATCACATTTAAAAGGCAAATAAAAATTGAATTGGTTCTTACACTGTTTCCTGGTGTGCTTCTGAAACCTTAATAAATTTGCAGTATTACTTGCTGGACTTTGGGCATCAGAAAGGCTTGATGTACCTGATAAGTTCCATCTTGAGGAAGAACAACAAATGGGTTCATCAGTATTTTGTTAAAATGCTAAAACCGAAGCAAAGGAGATAGAAAGGAGTGGTGGGTTCGAACTCTTGAGAAATGTAAATACTACAAAAGGTGGAATTCAACTGGGCAAGATCCAACTTGAGTTGGGCCAGTTTGGTTGGGAGCTGTACCTCAGTGGGAAGAACATGGGAAAGATCCCAGGTTCACTTTTCTGCAGGGCTGGGAGAGAACCCTGTCCAAAACCCTGGAAAGCTTCTGCCGGTCAATGAAGACAATACTGAGCTAGATGGACCAATGGGCTGATTCAGTATAAGGCAGCCCCTTAGGTTCTGGTGCTTACTGCAGCCCATGAACAGAAAGCTCTTCTACATGCGGTTGGTGGGTGGGCAGTGATATTTTATCAGCTCCAACCCCAGTGACAGTCCTACATGTGGTGGTGTCATATGTCATAATGTGCTCTTCCAGGTTTAATCAACCTATTCAGTAGGTTTTGGATGGGGTGAAAGACCACATGTGCTAGAGCAGGCTTCCTCAACCTTGGCCCTCCAGATGGTTTTGGCCTACAACTCCCATGATCCCTAGCTAGCAGGACCAGTGGTCATGGATGATGGGAATTGTAGTCTCAAAACATCTGGAGGGCCAAGGTTGAGGAAGCCTGTGCTAGAGGAACAATCTAGAGGTTGGAATGGTGATCATGGCCACCAAGGTGAGAAGGAGGGGGGGGGGATACCTGTTGGCACATCTATTCCTGAGACAACGAAACCATGCACACTGTGGCCAATTCTTTCCTGTCCTTACCCTTTCACAGAATACGAAGCTCAAGATAAAATGGAACTTTCTTTAACTCTCTTTCCTCAACCGGCTTCTCAAGTGCAGATTATCTTTCCCTTTTAATAGCAATAAATGATCAGAGATGCTTGCATACGACACAACGAAAAAACAACAATGTACAGTCATACCTCGGGTTACAGACGCTTCAGGTTGCATTTTTTCAGGTTATGGACCTGCCGAAAGCCAGAAGTACCAGAACAGGTTACTTCCGGGTTTCTGCGGTTGCGCAGAAGCGCCGAATCGCAACCCGCGCGTGCGCAGATGCGGCGCTGTGGGTTGCGAACATGCCTCCCGCACAGATTACATTTGCAACCCGAGCATCCACTGTACTGAAAATAGGAGCTGCCCAATTATTTTGTCAGCAGGGAGTGAGAAAGCGCTACGGGAGTGAGAAAATCTCTGTGTTAAGCAGCATACAAATTGACAGCCAAAAGTGCACATTATTGGCTGCTAGTTTTTGCTGGCGGGAGCAAAAGTTTGCATCAAAGAGCGCTCCTTGCTACCTCTCTAGACTAAGATGGCACAGAGAGAAAGCAATCCTCTTTCCAAGAAACGGATGTCCTTAATCCAGTGTTGCCACTTGACTCCCAACGGCCCGTAGTAGCTAGGAATGCCTTTTACTGCCTTTAGCTGGGAGGCCAGACACAGCCATCTCTCAAAAGGGCTAACATAGCCACAGGGACCCATGTGTTGGTAACCTCAATACAGGACAGCTGCACTTGGTGGGGCTTCCCTTAAGGCTGGCTCAAAAGTTGCAACTAGCACTGGATGCTGCGGCTAAGTTGTTGTGAATCAACTTACTACAGTAAACCAGGCCAGGTTTAAGGTTTCGTTGATGGGATATAAAGCTCTAAACAACTTAGGGCCAGGTTCCCCAAGGGAATCCCATTCCCCATATACATCTACCCAGTCATTGTGATCTGCAAGTGAGCACCTTCGCCCCTGCCAAACCACAGCTTGAACTGTTAGTGGATGCTGCTGTATCGTGTCTTATTAATTAACGTACCATTAATTTTATCTTTTTCATATATTGATATTAATGCTATTTTAGATGGTTGTGGGCTGCTTTAATATTATGTGAATAAATATGATACAGAAATGATTTAAATAAATTCATAAATTAAGAAAGAGTTGTATTACATACTGCACAAATAGCGTCCTACTTGGTGTTCGGAAGGAATATACAGTCCTTCTGCAGTCTGAAATGGCACAATAGTAAATGGCACAGAGGAAAACTCTCTTGATTCTGCTGACTTTGAGTACTGGCTCTAACTTTCGCACAAACTGAATTAAAGAATTAAGTGCTATCAAACCATAAGCCAGCAAAGTTACTGCCGGAGTCTTTCATCTGCTTTTACCTGCAAAGCTAGCGGTTGCTAGCAGGTAAAGCAGAGTATGGCAGTTTTGTTTTTAATTTGCCTATTCCACCCGCACATTAGACTGTCTGCTTGGCTTCTATAACAACACTTTCAAAAGAATCGGCTCAAAGTGAAGGTGAAATCTAGAAAGGTAAGAGTTATTCTGCTTGTAGGGTATGCTTGTGTTGAAAGAAATAGATTGCAGCAGCAGCTGCTTCAAACAGCACCAGCAATATCTTTTAAAGTAACCCAGTTTGTGGGAGTATATTAATATTCATTTTGCTGCAAAATGTTTGGCCTTGTGAAAAAGCAGGAAATAAGCCCTGGACCTCATTTTAAACTTTATAGACCTAATTAGTGCCACTCTCAATATAGGCATCTTAAGATCAAGCTTGACTAAATGGATGCTTTTTATAGTGTAATCTGGGAATGTGGGCAGATAGCTTTAAATAAGTTCAATTTTACTTTGCTGCGCCTAGGGGTTTTTTTCATCTGACTCATGCCAACCACTAGGGTGCATACGTCCTAGATTGATACCCAGATAAATTTATCCATTTATTATTTGCATGTATAACATGTTCTTTACTGGAACCCCCCCCCCGGCTCTTCCTTCTGAGCTATCCAGCCATTCCCTTCTGCTGTCTCCTGGGGACCCCTAATCTGGAATGTTGCCAGGTCATCAGTGTGGGAAGTAAGGCCCATCTGCCATCCGAATCAGTTTCTGAACACAGAATGGAGGAGTGGGCACTGTCTTGTCTTGTGTTTTGCCCTTTGGGGAGCAAATGTCTTGGGCTGGCCTCAATGAGCAAAGAAGGATATTGTAAAATGGCTCACATACCACATCCCTCCCAGATGTGAAGCAGTCATATGAGACCGTGGTGGATTTTAATGCTAGGAATGGTATATTCTGCCCAGAGATCCAGAGAGGCCCAGGCCACGTGATGGCCCAAGCCATAAAGTAAAGGGACCCCTGACCATTAGGTCCAGTCGTGACCGACTCTGAGTTGTGACACTCATCTCACTTTATTGGCCGAGGGAGCCGGCGTACAGCTTCCGGGTCATGTGGCCAGCATGACTAAGCCGCTTCTGGCGAACCAGAGCAGCGCACGGAAACGCCGTTTACCTTCCCGCCGGAGCGGTACCTATTTATCTACTTGCACTTTGACGTGCTTTCGAACTGCTGGGTTGGCAGGAGCAGGGATCGAGCAACGGGAGCTCACAACGTCGCGGGGATTCAAACTGCCGACCTTCTCATCGGCAAGTCCTAGGCTCTGTGGTTTAACCCACAGTGCCACCCACGTCCATACTTAAAATAAAAAATGATGACACATGGAAACAAAATAAGGCACAATCAATCAAAGAGTGGTTTGTTTATACAATCAGCTGGTCTGAAAGGACCGTGTTCATCATGGTCTAATCTTGTACCATCAGGACAGATAATATTTTTGTTCAAAAATGTTTTTTTAAAATATGGCTTTTACCAAATTGAACCTTTTGTTTGCTTAAATTTGCAGATCTAAGCTGAGAGATAAGGAGTGAAACTGATCAAGTGACGAAAGAAAAAGTAGTGTTGAAATCGTAGCCTCACTTTGAGCTTGTGGCCGTGGGCTCTAAATGGCTCACCTGCACCCCACTCTGATTGGCCCTGATTCTACCTCCCACATGGCCACTGCATTTGAGTAAGGTGCAAATGGATGGATGTAATCTCTAACCAGCCAGAGTCCAGTTTGCAGCACACCTTTCAAAGCCAGATTCACGGAAATGAAACACCAAACGAATACTGACGAGAGCATGACTTGATCTGGGAAAGGAACCTGTAATAATTACACCTAGAGAACTCAAACTGATATCTAATAGGAAAAGATACCTTAGGGAACAATGCTGAAAAGAGATAGAAATGATGGATTAATAGGTTTTCTACATCACTAATTTTTATGTTCCAGTACAGAGAGTCAAGAGAATAGGGGAGATACACAGGGAGGGGGGCATGGCGCCATATGCTCAGGAGCTGATAAGGACACTTACATAAATAGAGAATTGGGACAGCCAAATAAAGCCCCCTATAAATAAGGTAACAAAGCACATCTCTGCTGCTTGTCATGCGGCTGGAAGAAGCGGGCAGGTGACACCTGCTCTTGTCGAGCTCCTGCTAAGACTCCCTAGTTAGTTAGAGAAGCAAATTACCTAAGGAAGGCCAGCATGAAAGGCTCTTTCGGAGGTTATTAGTGGGACTGGTCTCCTCAATGCAGCACTTGATTGGAGAAAGACAGAAAATTACAGGGCTTTGATTGTAGAGGGGAAGCTTTTAACTGCTTCCCGCTGTTCTGTCATTTGGTACTAGCCCCAAGTGGCCAAATTAAATTTGTGTCATGTTCCTCATTCCCTGACCACAAATCACTCTCTTGCAAGCTAGTGTTTTAAGAAGTGGGGGAAGTTTTACACATGGTAGGAAGAAAAATATTCCTTCTAAATGACTGGGTGGGGGAGGGATCCCAATGACCACCTGTGATCTAGAGTAGGGTTCTTAAAAAACAAACCAACCTACTAGCAGTAATTTGTAACCATCGTTCCTTCAGCTGAATTCATAACCACCACCACCACCCTGCAATCTGTTTTGCTATGTGATCAAACAGCAGCGCGAGTGATTTCTGCGATTTTGGAGCAGCTTTTACCATTTCAGCTACTATTTCTGCAGAAAGGAAATT